GCCTCTTGAAAGGAAAATAAAATCAGCCACAACTTTTGACCAAATCTATCTTGTACATATTCTAAATTTATTTAATTCGAATTTAAAAAAAGACCGCCCAATTATTAAAAATTGTTCAAAAAATTACTAATAAAGGTAAAAATGAATTATTTTGGCGGGATTTAGTTACTATTATAGGTAAATACCAAACCTTTTTATATTTATATAGATATAAATATGTTTAATAAATTAATTAATTTATGCTACTAAACATAAACTGCCAAAAACATTCACGGATGCATGCACATTTTACTCGTTGTCAAAAAGTGTGCACTGGAAAAACTATAGCATGACCAGTGGTCCAATATATGCATACATAAGATTAGTGGTTCACAGTAAGTCAAGGTCGTCATATAGTACTTTAAGTCAAGGTCTTCTTATAAGTTATAACTCAACGTTTTATTTTATTTTATTTTTCTCCTTCCATTATGCATTATCAGATGAAGAGATAAGTCAGTGTTGGCCCATTGTCACACACAACGATAATGTTCACTTATCCACGATGGGCACAAGTTAATATGCCCACCGTTTATGTGGCATGCACACATTGGTGATGTTAATATGTTCAAAAGAATATATCACCAATGTGTGCATACCACATAAGCCGTGGACATATTAATATGTGTCCACCGTGGATAGGGGAGCATTGGTCTGTCACACAATTTGGTAGTTTGCTACAGATTCACACCTTAATTAATACGCAATGGGAAGTGCATGCATATATCACTTAGATTAATATATATACCTAACACAAATAATATAAAAATTAGAAAAGTAATTCCAATAATATTTCTCTGAATTGGAAATAACTGAACCATAAGATGGGCAAGACTTAATAGGTTCACTTTATTCCTGCTTGTATATATATGTAGATTGCATGGACATTCAAGATCCAACTCTTCCTAATAATACCACCATCACTACAAATTCTAAGTAACGAGGATGAATGTATCAAAATTCTCTATTCTTGCATCTATGTTTTCAGTCCTTTGCTTGTCTTTCAGACCACTCCATTCAATCTCTTGCCCTGAAATCGAAAAGCAATCACTTCTAACCTTCAAGCAATCTCTGCAGGACACCTCGAAGTTGTTGTCTTCTTGGGATTCCAAAGTCGATTGTTGCACTTGGAAAGGTGTTTCGTGCAGCAACGTAACTGGCCATGTTCTTCGACTTGATCTTCAAGGTAACCGCTTAGGTGGTAAAGTAAACTCTTCTTTGCTCAACTTAAAGCATTTGAAATATCTTGACCTGAGCTTGAACAACTTTCGTGAAAAGATCCCTTCATTCATTGGATCACTCCCAAGGCTTGAGTACTTGGATCTATCATTAACTGGATTTTATGGAAACATTCCCCATAGTATTGGTAATCTTTCGAATTTGCATGTTTTAAGTTTGGCTGTCAGCACCTCAGTAGTCTTGCAGTTGGAAGTTAGTAGTCTTGAATGGTTGTCGGGACTTTCTCGACTGGAGCACCTCAACATGAATGGTGTCAACCTAAGCAAAGCAACTAACTGGGCACAACAGCTTATCAACAAACTTCCTTCTTTAGTCGAGTTGCAGTTGAATCATTGTAATCTTAATTTTATGGATCCTCTGAATGATGTTAATAATATTAGCAGTTCTAATTTAGCCACTCTTGATCTCTCCTGGAATTCCCTGTCTAATGACATCATCCCTTTGTGGATCTTTCAACTCAGCAACCTCCAGTACCTCGATTTAAGTGAAAATGAACTTTCTGGAAAAATACCAAGAGAAATTACAAACTTGTGCAATATTCAGACCTTGAGTTTATTTGGTAATAATTTTGGAGGAGAGATATCGGATTCATTTGGAAACAATATGTCAGATTGTTTCTTAGGATCTTTGATATCTTTAGATTTGTCAGACAATCAAATCTCAGGTCATCTGTCTCATCAGTTTGGAGAATTTAGGAGTATTCAATCCCTTTATCTTAGAGGAAACTCGTTGTCCGGTGTAATTCCAAACGAAGTAGGGAACTTGCTTTCCCTGGAAATTTTAGACTTGGATAATAACAAATTAACAGGGAACTTACCTAAGAGTATTGGGAAACTTGTGAACCTCATAGAGCTTTATATAGGGAATAACATGTTGGAAGGGGTTGTGACTGAAACCCACTTTTCTAATCTCTCAAATTTAAGTTACTTGGATGCCTCTGGAAACCACTTGACTTTGAAAGTCAACCCGAATTGGATTCCACCATTCAAACTCAACGGGCTTTACCTCGGGTCCTGGGACTTAGGATCCGGCTCTCGAATTCCGTTATGGCTTAAGACTCAGAAAGAGAGTATCAGCAGCCTGGATTTGTCCTGTACTGGAATTTATGGAAATGTTCCCAGCTGGTTATGGAGTTTGAATTTTCTCAACCTTTCGTATAACCAACTCGACGGAAAGATTTTATCCACGAATGATCATGGATATGATTATGATGTTTTCCAGTTTTTCTACTTGAGTTCCAACAGGTTTAGTGGTCCACTGCCTCAAATAATGACGAGTTCATTATTGGAACTCGATCTCTCCAATAACACATTCTCGGGAGATCTGTCAGAATTTCTCTGCAACACATCAACTATTAATGGACTGCAAAATCTTAATCTCGGGGATAACAACCTGTCTGGTGAGTTACCTGATTGTTTCGTGAAATGGCAATCATTGACAATGTTGAACTTAGGCAACAATGAACTATCGGGAAAAATACCAGACTCCGTAGGATTTCTAGCAAGTTTGGAGTCCTTGAATCTATACGGCAACAATTTCTCTGGCCGTGTACCTTCTTCACTGCAAAATTGCGTGAGACTAGTGAAGATTGACTTCTCTTATAACAATCTTGGTGGGGACATACCCAAATGGATTGACACAAGATTTTATCAGCTAACAGTTCTCATTTTGCGCTCGAACAATTTCATTGGAGAAATTACCACATCCATATGCCACCTAAGATCTCTTCAAATCTTGAATCTCTCTCATAACAGGCTTTCAGGGAGAATACCTACCTGTCTCAACAACCTTACTGCAATTACCACAAAAAGAAATTTAACAGATCTTTTTAACGTCAATGGTACATTTCCAGAGAGTGCATCAATTGCAACAAAAGGAAGAGAACTCACCTACGGTAGTACTCTTTCTTTGGTTACCAGCATTGACCTTTCAAACAACACCCTGTCTGGTGACATCCCGAGCGAGATAGCAAGTCTTGTGGAACTCAGATCACTGAACCTATCGAGAAATAACTTAACAGGATCGATCCCAGACAACATTGGAAACATGAAGCAACTCGAATCTCTTGATTTCTCAATGAACTTATTATCAGGTGAGATTCCAAGTAGCATCACAACCATGTCTTTTTTGAATAGCTTGAACTTGTCATATAACCACTTGACTGGAAGAATCCCAGAAAGCACCCAGATTCGGAGCTTGAACGAGTCGAGTTTCATCGGCAACAATCTCTGTGGCCCTCCACTTACAATATCTTGCAGAAATGACGATAAAGTCCTTGATCCAACGGATACAGAGAATCTAGGCCGAGAAGGTAATAAGCAAGAGATTGATTGGTTTTACATATTCCTATCTTTAGGGTACGCCGTCGGGCTTTCGGCTGTCCTCACGACATTGTATTTTAAGAGGAAATGGAGAGAATCGTATTATGCGTTCTTTCACAAGTTATGGGACAATGTTTATGTGTATTTCGTTATCAAGTGGAGAAGGCTCACAAGAGTGTCGAACTGAAATTTGCAAAGGCTCTGCCACAAAAGTTTGCATGGACGGCTCCTCCATAGGACGTTACGCTTTCATTTTATTGTGGCATTCTGATGGTCTGTTCCAAGAGTATTGGATGGATTTATTATGTATGTTTGTTTGTCTCTTATTGTATGAGTTTTTAAAAAATTTAGCCTGAATCCTTTATTAATATTATTATACTAGTACAACATCCGTGTATTACACGGGTGTTTGTTAAAAAAATTATTCTTAAATTTTAAATTAATGAGAAAACTATATTAAATTTCGTTCACTTTTTTACAAAAAAAAAAAAATATATTACTATATATTTTAGAATGATATGTATTACTTATGACTTACATGTGTTATATTATATTAGTTTTTATAACTTATCTCATATAACTACTTGAATATAAATATATTAGTTGATAAATAATTTTATTTTTCTAATTAATATTACAAATAATTTTATTATTGTTATAAAGATAAATATAAATTAGTTTCTTATACATACAATATGGATGTTAAATCGAAGCTCATCAAAAAAAGATTAATTTGATATATTACATATGTAAAACTGATAAAAAATACAAAAAATATTAACTTTTAAAATACATATACTATTCAATAGTTATAATAAGGAATGGTATTAAAATGCAATTAATGCATGTAACATGACCATAAATAATCAACATAGTTATGGTAATCTGAACCTAATTATTTTTGGTTTGGAATTAAATTAAAATTTACCCAAGCCTAATAACCAAGCATGTAATTTTGTCACATAGGATTCCGAAGCACCAGAAACAGCCACGTAGGCTCAGCGCGTTCTGGGTTAATATATAGGGGGGATATGGCTTTTTTCTTGCTTAATGAAATCAGTGATGGCAATGTATATGGATGCATGACTCTTAGATTATGTACAAAACCAGCAAGGAGCTGATAAAACCTTTTCCTTCATTAATTTTTCCCTTTTGTTTTTTTCCCCTATTAATATTATCGTTGCCTCATGTATACTGCTTTTGTATTAGCATAAAAGGCTTAATGAATATATCCATCCACACACCGAGTATGTAACAGCAACAGGATATTCATCAAGTTAGGAAGAACAGTAATTAACTTTTTAAAATAGAAATTTCACAGACAGAAGAGAGTTTGGGATTAGATATGGATGTGCAGGGAATATTTGCAGTATTGGGTCTTTTAACTCCTATGAAATCAGGTTTTCTTACAGTTTAATTAGCTTTTACAAAATGAATTGCTAGCATGCATTGTATTTAGATTATAATTGTTAGTACTGCAAATTTTGTGGTGATCATATTCTGTATGTCATATCCAGCCAAATTTCACATGACAGCCAAACACAACAAAACAAAGGATAAGGAATCAGATTCCAACAACTAATATTAAACTGTTATGATTATTGGAATTTACCAATAAATATTATCCTAACATTATTATATTAGTATGTACATTGGTAAGTGTGCCATATTTGCCTATAAAAAGGCAACAATTGTAGTACATTTTTGTATACATGATTGAGTGAGCGGAAGAGTGAAAAGAAAACAGCTTAAATTTGTTCCGGTCTTTATACATTGTGTTCTTTATATTGCTCGCATTTCATAACACGTTATCAGCACGAGCGCTCTACCCGGTCAAGAAAGGTAGGATATATATACATATTACCATTATTCTTGACAAGTTAGGCTCTGCCACAGTCAAGGATATATATACATATTAATATTATTTTTGACAAGTTAGGCTCTGCCACAGTCAAAAATATATATATATTACCATTATTCTTGACAAGTTAGGCTCTGCCACAGTCAAGATATGTATACTAAATATGATATTATCTACACATTACCATTATTATTGGCAAATTAGGCTATGCCATAGTCAATAATATGTGGTGATATGATATTTGCGTATGAATTATTTTTCAAGTTGTAATAAATGTTATTATTTATACTTAACACCCACAAAAATGGTTTACCCAGTAATATGGCGTGAAATTTATAACTGTTTATTCTTGTACCCACTGAAAGATTTATCGAGTAGCGTGGAGTGACATTTTTATTTAATTTGTTAAATTGTTTAAGTAATGACTCTGTAAAATTTTAAAGTAAAATACATGATTAATTAGAATTTTATGATCATAAATGATTAATTAGCAAATATTATATCATTAAATTTGTTTCCAACGGCTAGTTAACGGTTATATTGTAACGGCTATTTACCACTATTTATATATAACACTACAATTCATTTTCATAATACAAACACTCAAAATATATTGTTTTAAAAAAAAAAATGTTTGATCCATTACTTATAATTATCATTATCTTGTTTGTTATATATGTTTTCCTAATTTTCAAAATGATGTATCGTACTGTTGGATTTAAATTTTATGTATTAGGCCTTTGTATAATGTGTTTAGTATTTGCTCTTGTGTACGTCTTGAAGAATTAATGATTGTATGTGTAATTTTTCGAATGTCAGCATTGATGTTTTATTTTATAGTTACCATGGCAAATCTGGTCAAACTCGAATTCGAAGCTCTCGAAATCTCTGGGAAAAATTATATCTCATGGACATTGGATGCCGAAATTCATTTGGCGGCAAGGGGATTGGAAAAAACAATAATATCCCCAAATGATTCATCAATACAGGATAAAGCAAAAGCAATGATATTTTTGAGGCATCATTTGAATGAGACTTTGAAAAATGAATATTTAACTGTTAAAGATCCTGCGGATCTATGGAAAGCCTTG